CAGAATCATGAATGTTTGATTAACAGGTAACTTTAAATTGTCGCTAGTTGTGCATGAGTGTGAATGGTTATAATTACAATTCAAGGGAAATTGGTATTGGAAAATACTAAATCAGGAGGTAAGAGCTATACAAGTGTTGGTCACAAAGCCAGAATCAGTGCGTCTCTAAAAACATTTCACAGAGAAATCAAATACAACCTATTTCTGCAGCCTCAGGATTACAAGGCTGGGGCACTTAACCACTGAGCTAAAATAAAGAAATAATATACTGTTCAGTGTTAGGGCAGCACGGTGGAGCAGGTGGTAGAGCTTTTGCTTCTCAGCAAGAAAGTTGCTGAATAAAATCCCAGCCTGGCAGTTTGCATGCTCTCTTCATTAATGTGTGTTTTCTCCTGGTCTTCCGGTTTCCTCCCACATACACAAAGACATGCATGTTATCAAAGTTCATGCTCAATAATCCAAGTAAAAAATCCAACAAAGTCAGGTCATCTGGACGGTTTCTTTTTTTGTTGAGACGTTTTGTCCTTCATCCTTGAGCATGAATTTTGATGTTTTGAACCACTTTGGCTATGGCTACCTGAGAGGAGTTGATGGGGTGAGGGCAAGCCCCAGAATCTTATCACCAGCAAACTGCTTGGCCCACTAAGTGAGTGTGCTACTTGTGGGACTGAGTTTGTTTTGGCTCCTCGGACTGATGAAGTCCTTTGGATTAGGGCTGCAACCAACAATAATTTTGATAATCGAATAATCGGTCAGATTATTTTTCGAATAATCAGTGAATCTGCCAAAAAAACAAACAAACAAATGTTTTAATTTCCACCTCTTTATTCCAAAATTGAACATTTGACTTGACATAGCAAATCGCACAAAAACAGGTTGCTAGTTGACTATTCTGTTAGTAAAATACTGAATAATTAAAAATAAAAAAGTTAGTCAAATAGCTTCAATAAAAAAATTAGTGTACACAAAAATATTTACAAACGTATGCTTTATACCTGCACAATATGTAGCTACTTTGTGTTAAATGTGTCCTTGAGGGAAGAGTGTAACCTGGATTAAAAGTGTGGATTATTGTAGTGAAGCCTTCGTCTTCAACCATCGACAGAGGCCTCATGTCAGTGACGATCATGTTAAGGATCTTTCAGTGGACAGCTGCTGCTGTGGTGTCCATGATGTCTGTCCCATCATGAAGGCTGTCATTGTTTGTTGTTGTTTTCTGGAATGAGAAAAAAGGTATAATATGCATTACAGCAGAATTTACAGCAACTCAAGAAATGCCTTGTTTCACTTACAGTGGTAGGTTAAGGCAAAAGTAGCTCAAAGAGCAATTAAACACACAAAATACTTAATTGTGCACATTTGAGTAGATGTAATAAACTACTTTAATTCCTGTTTAAATTAGAAATGCACCAATCCGAAAACAATATTGGTACCGATATCGGAAAAATTTCTGAATCGGGTATCGGTGACAATGTGACCGATCCATTTTCCGATCCACGATGCAAGTTGGCTTCAAACTATGGGATGGATTTCCTGAACGGAGGCGTGTCTCATGAACCCAGAGTAATAAGACCCGCCTCACATTCAGGAAATCCATTTCATAGTTTGCAGCAGCTACAACGTGAGGACTGAGTTAGCAGCACTGTGGCTAACAGCTAACCAACTTTTCATCTAAACATGTCCGCTGTGTGGAAGTATTTTACACTAAACACCACAAAGCAAGACAGCAACGTGCAATGTCTGCAGAGCCATAGCGCCACATTAAACCGCGGTAAAGTTAGTTTTAGGTTGGACATTCGAGCTCCGGGCCTTCAGCGTTCTGCTCCTCTCGCTGAACCCGTAGCAGGCAGCCCGACCCCGGCCAGCCCCATCCAATCTGATCCGCTAAATCTGCCCGTCTCTGAGGAGGGGTAGACTGAGCGCGGCTGACCAAAATCAGGCTGCCTGCTTCAGATTGAAGAAGAAGAAGACATCGCTGAAGCCCTGGCCCTCGAATGTTTACCGAGAAGTTGCTAAACTTCACCATAATTAATGACCAACAGCTATCAGTTGTAGAAAACAAAGGATTTCACAGCTTGATACTTGCAGCCAAGATATAGTTTACACTCCAGGAGATATTTATCAGTACAACATGGGGCGGCTGTGGCTGAGTGGTTGGAGCAGCTGTCCTCCAACGCGAGAGTTGGGGGTTCGAATCCAAAAGCAGTCACATGCCGAAGTGTCCCCGGGCAAGACACTGAACCCCTCATCGCCTCCGATGTGTGTCCCATCAGTGTATGGATGTGATAAAAGCTCTGATTAGTCTCTTTAGAATGATTTGTTCAATTAGCTTAGTAGAGATCTAGTATAGAGCTGTATGAATGGGTGAATGAGGCACAGATTGTTGTAAAGAACTTTGAGTATCTTGATAAGATAGAAAGGCGCTATATAAGTACAGTCCATTTACCATTTACAACAATAGACAATCATAAAAAACATATGATTTGAAAATTACAATTATATATATAAATAAATCAAAACAAAAACAGCTACATTATAAAGTGATGTAAATAACTAAAAACAGAAATATGTCAGTTGCTTTATGCCAGTGCTTCTCAATTATTTTCTGTTACACCCCCCCCCCCCCCCCCCGCAGGAAGAAGTAAACATTTTGCACACCCCCAACTCTCCACCGCGACTGTAAATAGTATGTCTACAAAACTGTAATAAGTACACCTCTGCCTAACATCGTGTCCTTATTAACATTAAAGAAAAAAAAGAATATAGATCAACTTAAAACGAAGAATAACTTTATTAACATTGTTTTTTAGTCTGTAACAGAAACAGCTTCAAGTGCATCAATATGCCTGAAAAAAATCCTTTTTTAAACTAAACATTTTTGACCATTTGATACTGAAAAATAAAATTAAATATAATCAATAAATAATAATAAATTCAAGTTGATCAGCAACATTTTAACTCAGGAGTGTTACTCTTTGTCACCTGCGTGCTGTGGGTGACAAGCGTCCAGAGCGTCATAAAAGCATCATAAAATGATGATCACGATATCGGAACTGGATCGGTATCGGCCGATACTCAGATCTAGGTATCGGGATCGGAAGTAAAAAAAAAAAAAGTGGATCGGTGCATCCCTAGTTTAAATGCAAATCATTCTGCCATACATGCAGCATCTTCACTCAGACTTTGCTGGCAAATTAAAAGTTGAAGCTTAATGATTAAATTATAACCATCTTTGTGTTAGATTTATTCATAAATCACATTTAAACACTGCTTGTTCCAATTAAATTGAATAAAAAGTAACACACGTACTCTATCACTGTCATTAATCAGAAAACAAACAAACAGCAGCTTCAGCTCCAGAGAGACTGACGTCACGTTTTCTCACTTGGAAACAGAACAAATGTGAATATTGTAGAGACTCACCTGTAACACAAGACGAGTTGTATCAGCTGCTGCTGAGCTCCTTTGACTCCGACACGTTTATGTTTATCTCTGTGGTGCTCCCGTGTCGTGTCATCACTTTTGTAAAGCTGCATGTGGCTCAGTTTTTACCTTTGTGAAGCGTAAAGTGATTCCACACTTTTAAGGACTTGGGTCGAACAGTTTTCTCAGTCGGTCATTTGTAAAATGTATTTAATTTCCTTTGAAAACACTGCCTCGCGCTGCAGGTTTTTTTTTAACTTTATTCAGTCAGCCTGCATTGACAACGCTCTGCAGGTGAACAAAACGGCTCTGCAACGCCGTGAGAGACGCATTATCGCACGACACAACAACTCGATAATGAAATTCATTGCCAACACTTTCAATAATTGATTTTTATTGATTTTATTGATTCACTGTTGCAGCCCTACTTTGGATGAAGGAAAAAAAAAAACATCTCACCAAAAAAAGAAACCATCCAGATGTCATGATTTAACTTTGTTGAACATGCATATTATGTATATTGGTCATTTTAAATTGTCTCCAAGTAAGCCTGAGTGTGGTTGAATGTTGTTTGTCTTATTTTTCTCTATAGCCACTTTGCCATTGATAAGTGCAACTCCACTCAGCTCTCATCTTATCAGTTCTTCTCAGGTTTAGGTGATTTGCCACTACGACTTGTTTCCCCACTCTGTGGGCAGGATCGTCAATGAAAGTGAGTGGTATTGTAACTGGTCATTGTTCAAGCTACTCCACCCATTATGGCCTCAACAGCTCTATAATTGGACTTCACTTTCTTTAGCTTATGAGTCTGCTTATAAGTCTGGGTGTAGCCATGCTGCACCATCATCTCCGATATACCTCTGTAAATGCGCTCATTTCTTGTGGCACAGTCTGTCATCACATTGAGGAAGTGGCAGTTCAGATGTAGTTGGAAGTTTTGCTGGGCAGGTCATCCAGTGACATACTGTAGCTCTGATGCCAATCAACAACTGAAGCCTGCTTACATCAAAATCGGCACCTTGAAGCAGTCCACTTACAATTCAGACAAGATGGTCCCATAAACCGAGCTGGGTAGGGGTGGGTGCCATACGTGGGGAAGCCCTTAACTGATGTGGTGTCGTGCAGAACTGATGATAAGAGCCATATGTGATGGACTTGCAACCTGTACAGGGTGTACCCCACCTCTCACAAAGTGACTACTGGACATAGGCACCAGCGACCCCCACAACCCAGAAAGAAAGAAGCAGGTAAAGATAATGGATGGATGCTCTGTGTTGTACTCTATTGTTATTTTGCTTGTTTTTTTTGTCTCTGTCAAACAAACTTGGTCATGTCCAAAAAATATATCAGGTTAAATAAACAAATTTGAGAAGTTTTAACTGCAGGTTTGAAACTGGCTTAGTGGAGAAAACGTATCACAAAGAGCTTCAAGTTTTTAGACTTGATAAGCGAGTGTTCGTTTTTAAAACTTCCAACAGCAAACTAAATAATATCACAGAGAAGCTCATGTCAGAGATGTGTACAAATACAACCAGTGTGCAGAGAGAAGCAGAATTTGACATTTCATTGTTACTCACTTGTGTAGCAGTAGTAGCGGGTTGAAGGTATTCACTAGGACTGACAGCAACAGTGGTGGCCATACTGTCCCGTTGTTCTGGAAAACACACAGAGTCGGTCACAACTTGCCTGCAGCATCTGTGGTCGAAATGTTGTTGATAGACATTACAGCCAAGAAGATGAGCTCTACGGAGAATCAGTAAAATGTAATGTTTTCCTCTACAGTAATTCCAATGCAACTATAAGATGCTACATTAAATAATCTTTACCTATGCTCTGTGCGCTCAGTTTAAGATAGTTACATAGAGGCTATTGTTTTGGAGCGGCTATTAAAATAATAGTCCAGGAAGCTGTTTTCATCAATTTTCATTTTAGCTATCATTTTTGCTAGTTTAGCCAACATGGGATATATTTATAGATCATTAATTTGGCCTCCAGTACCAATTGGATGAATTTACAAAAATAAAATGTTTCCAGGTAAGCCTTTTGTACCCTCAATGCAGAACGAAGTAGGCAAAAGGGCCTTCTCCTACTCTGCTCCTGTTTCCTGAAACACCTAACGAAAAGATCTGGAGCTCTCGACCTTGACCTCTCAAGAGACTTTAAACATCTGCTAAGCTCGTGGCAAAAACCAACACAGACATGTTCCTGTTTTAAGTCTTTTATATCACTCTAGCTGTTTTTGTTTCATATATATATATATATATATATATATATATATATATATATATATATATATATATATATATATAATTTCTTCCATTTACTTTTCATTTTATATGCTGTTTTATGATTGTCTACCGTAGTCATCTGTGTTCTTCGTTTAAAGCAGGTCTCTCTTGTAAATGAGTCCTCGAGACTCAATGAGACTAACCTGTATAAATAAAGGTTGATTGAATGAATACCAGGTTTGCCTTTTTCAAGTCATGCAATAAAAATTTTAAACCATTCTGTCTCAAAGTGACACCAAGAAACTAGTTTACACATTTATGCTCAACTGTACTGTACTGTTTATTACAAAATCAAGACTTGAAAAAAAATCTAATAAGTCAAGTTAATTCAAAATGTCTGCGTTTGAGTCTGATGAGAGCAGGGGTGCCACCAAGTGAAGGAATAAAGGTCAACCCTGGACTCCCACTGGGCCCCATTGGCCAGACAGATGTGTTTTCTTGAGTCCTAAGCTTTTGCTTGGTGCACATTTTTAATTTACCCTAGCTAGTAAGGATGAGTAATATTATCTTTAAATAATACTAAGAGTTAGTAGAACCTCATAAACAAAAACAAACTGTTTTTGAGCATGCAGGAGCTGAATAAAGACAACAGGTGTAAAAGCAATGTCCTCAACATTTGGATACAGGGTCTCAACAGGTTATGCATAATATGTTGTTTTATCTAAATTTAAATTTAGCAGAGGACGAGCTTCAATAAGTTGAGTAGTGCTCCAACCTTTGGGTCTCCGTAAAAGACAACTGTTGCCAATGTGCTGGCTCAGGATGGGAGATTGTGACAAAGTGAAGATTCAAAAATCTGCTGGCTTCTTTAAATAGATAACTTTTACTACCAGTAACTGGCTTTTTTAATGTATGCAATGTTTTTGATCAGTGCCCTGAGATGACTTTTGTTGAGACTTGATGCTATATAAATAAACTGAATTGAATTTTTGTACTTGGTTTACATAAATAATTTAGCTGGCTGACAAGTCACATGATTTGTTATTTACTGGCCTAAAAAAGAGAAACACGACCAACACTGAATAACAAGTAAGACACTGGCCTCAACTCAGACGCTTACAAAGCAAACAGATGTTTTTCTGGACTGGGTTGGGTAAATTTTAGGCAAATAAAAACTATTTTCATTCAGTCAACATAAGCACACTTTGGGCACGATGACCAGCAGTTTGAGAGCAAAGTAAAGCTTCAGTACTTTGGAAAAATAACACGTGAAAAAGGGTTAAGCAATGAAAACGCTCTTAAAACGCTGAATGACATCCTAAACTATAAAACAGCTTGTACACAAAACACAATCAGCTGTATTCAAAAACATCTCTGTCAAACTGCAAATGTGCAACGGAGTGGTGTAAAAGATTTGGGCACTAAAGAGCTGAGAAATTTTGTGGCGTGAAAACAACCCCATCACTTTAACTGGCAGCAAATTCAATGTCAGGGGTATTCGCTATAAAAGCATCATGAAGTAAAACAAGATTTATTTTAGCTTGGGTTGACCAGAACCAGAAAAGATATTTTGTCTTAAGACAAAAAATAACTGTGCTAGGGCCCTAAATGACTCCAAAACAAGTCAAATCTATTTTCAATACAACCCAAGACTTCTACGTACAGTAACTGAATTATTTTAACCATGTGATGACCACAGACGTGTCAATATTGTGAGACAAAACAGCTCTAATTTATCTCCCCACAAATGTCTCCGTCTCAGTTCAGAGAAGCAAACACAAATGCTAATCTTTACATTTTTTAATATTCGATGTGCAAAATGCAGCATAAAAACCGTTAGGCACAACACTGCTGTCATTTTCGGTCAGACACTAAAGATTTTACACCATTTGTTTTGCTTTGGAGTGTGAAGGTTTGAGTTGATTTAGGAAACACAAATCACTGAGACAAACATGTTTTGCCTTTATATGTTATAACCTCATTTCATCTAACCCTAATCCATCTCACAGACAAAGCTTCGGAGGGACAGGTCTCTCTTTTCCAAGTAGTAGTAGTAAGAGTATGTATTTTAACCTTTTTGGGAACATCTGGTTGTGTGCCTGCCAATAAGAGGGTTTTTGTTGTTGTTTTCTTTAGTTTAAAATCAGTTTATTCAGTGGTACTGTAAACTCAGTGTACTGTACGCTAAAAATAAAATAACCTTCAAAAGTGATTGAAAACGTTTAAAAATTTGCTTAAATGCTACATGAAAATGTGGCCAAAAATTGTGAAACTGTATTCTTGTAGTCACTGTTTGTTTTTTTATATTTATTATTTTTACTGAGGTTGTTGTTTCAAGCATTTCATAAAACCAAAGTAACGCGTTGTTGGTTTTTTTGTTGACGTTAAATTGCCCACAATCTGATTATTAAGGTGCATTGATTGATATCAGCATACGTTTGGTAACAAAAACAAACATTAGCTAATGTGATGACATAACAGCCACGAGGAACATAAACTGCATAAGCTGCTGACGATTGATTCAAAAAGACCCTCAAAGACTCCTCTGTACTACAGTAACAGCATTTAGGGGACAATAACACATAACAATTATTTAAATGGACAAGAAAAAACACGTTTGTTTAATAAAAATAAATTTTGGGCACTTAATTTGAACTTTCCTACCATGCATGATTTCTAACAATTAGTTTATTTTTTTGTTTTACAAAATTAGATTACTGAGACAGACAAAAGGTCAAAATTAGACCGGTCAATTTATCGATTTCCTTAATTTTGGGAGATTGGCCGATACTCACATGAGAAACCAATTTTTTGTATTTTTAACAACTGTCTAAACTTAATTTATATTTCAGAGCACCTCATGGCCAGTTAAAACAAGTTTGTATTGTTTCTAGGATATTGTTCAAGGGTATGTTTTTCAATAAAATACAAATGAAAACTTGAAGGTGCATCGTGACCTTATAACACCCGACAGTGTCGCTTATCAAACTAAATCGGTAACGGCCAAAATCGGAATCGGCACGTCAGACTTTTTAGAGATCGTGATCGGCCAGAAAACTGCAATCGGTGCAGCCCTAGTCAAAATTAATTCACTCAACCTGTATTTATAGTCCCACTGAGCCTCGGGGACTCATTTATGAGAGCCCTGATTTTAACAAAGAATGATGACAACAGTGGACGACGACAATAATAGACAATGATAAAAGAAAGCATACAAATTGAGAAGAACAAATTGAAATAAAACTAAACACTCTGCTCTATATCTTTAATGTAAAGACAATGGAAGAGCACTTTAAAAACTACTATAACAGTAGTTTACTGTACAAAGTACAGGTAAGCAAAACGGTTGTATTTAAAATTGGACGAAATGCACTTTTCCACAAATGACTCTTTTGTCAGTTCTCAGCTTTGCACCAACAGGGATTAATGTCAGAGTCCAGTGATTTGGCTGTTCATTCCCTCAACGCACTGATTTCTGTCCAACTCATTCTGTACAAACTGCGTGCAGAAGAGCCAGCTTTGGATCATTCTGAGTGAATTTTACACAAACTAAACCTGAGCCTCTTATGATGATCCACACTGTGCTGCACTATGGCTGATACATTAACAGGCAGGACTTTAACAATAAACAATAGTTTAGCAATTTATCATTGTTCTTGGCTACTGGGACTTTATCCTATCGGGTGAGTAAAGTGGTGAAAAATAAATAAATAAACCAACAGGCTGGCCTTAAAATAGCGCCGCCATTAAAAACATCCTGTTGGGTTTGCTGAACTAGCTGCTAACATTAGCGTGTTAGCTAGCGAGCTAACGCACCAACCGGCCAGCTCAGCTTTAGCTGTCCCGCTTGCTCTGACAAACTTAAATGGAAACTAAACGTTCACTTTCAAAACGATGCAGTGACTCGTCGTGGCAATAATGTTTGATTTAAGTGTATGTGAATTTTGAAGGAGAAAATGGGGCTGAAGAACCAGCTGATAGCCTCGTCTACCATTTCAGCTAGCAAGTAAAACTCTTTGATAACGTTACAGAAAAAAGGCAGTTCTTTTCCGGAAGGGCATCAATCATTTCAGTGCACAAAACCACCTCAACTCTCCTAAAACACAGTAACTGGATTCACATCACATACAATGTTTTCCTCTCACTAAAAGCAATGTTTTACGAAGCAGAATGTAATATAAACACCAATGTTTTAATTCCTACCCACCGCTCATGACGACATTCGCTCTCCGCGAGCCTTGAAGACCGAGCCCATGGAGGAATACGCCCGCCCCGCTGCACCAATCCATGGACGATAATGAGATGATTGACAGTCAGACTGGACCAATCGGCTCCAGCAAACGTGTGATTGAAATTCAACTAAACCAATCACAAGGCAGAATTTTTGTACGTCAGACGACGGATGACAGTTTGACAAATAGCAGTTGTTTTTGCGCTTAGTAGGGCGGGCCCTTAAACACAACCTGAAGCAAGCGAATGTCCTATAACAGCAAGAACAGATTCACTGACACATTTTACGGCCAATGTGATTTTTGAGGGGCAGTTCGGTCAAAACAAGAGTGACAACCGAGTTGCTCAATTAGCGCTAATTCACTGTTGTCTGACCTGTTTAAACTGTCCCACTTGCTGCCACAAGCAGACAGTTACATGGCACAAAGGAGTCTAAGCCACAGTAAAAGGATTATTGAAGATCTGCACTTCGATGCAATGACTTATGTATTATTTAATCTGCCATACAGAATTATATACTTTAATTCATTCGACCTTTATTTTTACTTTATTTATACTTAGAGCACTTTATGAGATAAATGCCAAGTGCAAGTCATAATTTCCATTGCTAACCTTTATTTATTTGTTTGTTTTTGCCTTCCTACTTACAATTTAAATGATTTGTAACATTAGAAGCAATAATTTCACAAATATAGTTCAGCTTATTCTAGTCAAGTTTATGTGTGTGTGTGTGGGGGGGGATTTTATATATATATATATATATATATATATATACATACATATATATATATATACATAAATACATACATATATATATATATATACATAAATACACATATATACATATATATACATACACACACACACACACACATATATATATATATATATATATATATATATATATATATTCAAGGTTCTTCATTGTCATTCACAACACATGGGGTACATGAGGTGGAACGAAATTGTGTACACAGGGAGAGCGAGAGAGAGAGAGAGAGTTTTGGAATCGCATTTTATATGCAAAAGCTATTTTAAAGTTATTATTTAAAATATATTTTACATATAAAATACAACCCAAAAACTCAATATTTTGTGTCAGCACATTTTGCAGCAGTTCCAGAATCAAGCCTCTTCATGTCCATATCCATGATCTTGGTCCATCTAAACCTGGACTTTTTGTCCGTCCTTCAGGTTGGAGGGTGCTGCTTGTGTTCACTGAGATTCTCAGTTAAACTGAGGTCTGGGCCATTCCAGCCTTTAACCTTTAACCCCTGAAAGGTGTAACCACGTGAGAGTCACTTTCTCAGATTTTAGTGCTTAAAAACAAGAAAAACGATGTAAAAATTATTTTATATGGTTATAAAACATATGGTTTTGCTAAAATGTAAAAACAAGTGCAAAAAAAGATCAATGCAAGACAGTCACCTGTCATGTCCAAAGGCTAAAGGCCTTTCTTTCTCTGACAAAAGATTTTATTAGCGTCTGTATGTGATGACATGACAAATGATCCTCTTTTCCATAGTTTTCACAAAAAACAACTCATGTTTCATTACTTTATGCAGTCAGGATATATTATGATACTTTCTTGCTGATTGTAACAAAACGAAAGTTTTACGGAATCATACAAAGATGTCGATACTTTCCCACCTCCTTATCTCCAGTTTGTGTTTGTTGATTCTGCTCGTTCTCAGGCTTTACAGTTCTTCCTCCAACTGTAGAAGCCCAGCAAGTTAAAGGGTTCAAGGCTGAAGGCCTAGTCCATGGCTGTGGGTTTATTTGGATACAGTAACGCACATACAGTATTACATTTATATATATATATGGGATACAGTAACCTCTTAATAACGCAGTCCAAAATTCCTCACTCTGTCGGGTTGGCCAGGGGTCAAGTATGGTCCACTTTTATGTCCAGCAGTGGCAGCATCCATGTTGTCTCAGTCATAGCAGCAGTTCCTGGCTGAATTTTGGATCTGCTGGGGGCTCACCTCTTTCCATCTCTCCATCTGCTGCCTGTCTCACGTAATCATGTTCCCTTACACGGGTAACTGGATTCCCCAACGTTCCACTTTTAGACCTTTGAAACCGCTTAACTTTGCTGTTTTACATTCAAATTACAAAACTTTAAAAGTACAGAACATTTTCCCAAATAGAGATTCAAAATTACAGATTTCCAAATGGGACAAAAACATTTAACTTTGAAAATAAGACCTGTTCACATCTTGCAGCGCACTTGGTGCACAAAGAACACTAAACCCTGATCAATTATTGACCAAGACCGATTATTTTAGGTAGCCTACATGTGTCTTTACCTGAACAAGAAACAGAACTGTACTTACAGCACTGCCTCACAATATACTGTCAGTGAAGAAACAGTGTAAGAAATTGTCACTTCACTGGTATGCTGCGTTAGTGACAAGCTGCTACTCCCTAAAAACAAAATGTGCCTATAAAAGTATTCACCCCTTGGATGAAATGCAGGTGAAATGGGAGAGACCATGCATCCAACTGTTGCCTGAGTTCTTCACCAGTCTAAGCTAATGAACAATTAGGAGCAGGTGTGAATGATAGAAAGAATGACTGGGTGAGACACTGAGTGCATCGCTGAAATACAAAAATCACAGCACGAGCTAGTGACCTAGCATGGAAGCTACAGCTGATTGAACTTTTCTTTTTCTTTTCCTTTTCTAAACAGTGATTGGAATAACCGAAATGCCATGTTCACATGTAACGTTTTCACAACCAACATTGAAATTGTCTATAATATTGTTTCCATTCATTTGTAATGGGCTCTGGGTCAGGTAGGAGGACGGGGACCTGAAGAGAGGGACCATCCATCCATCCATTATCTTTTACCTGCTTCTTCCATTATGGGTCACGGGGGTCGTTGGTGCCCATGTCCAGCAATCAGTGTGCGAGGGGCGGGGTACACCCTGGACAGGTCTCCAGTCCATCACAGGGACACGTAGAGACACATAGAGACAAACAACTCTTTCACTCTCACCTCGGGACAATTTAGAGTTACCAATCAGCCTAACATACATGTTTTTGGTCTGTGGGAGGAAAACGGAGTACCCGGAGAAAACCCACGCATGTACGGAGAGAACATACAAACTCCACCCAGAAAGGCCCCCGGACCAGGATTTGAACCAGGGTAACCTGCTCGCTGAGAGGCAGCAGCTCTACCAGTTGCATCACCATGCTGCCCGAGAGGAACCAAGCAAAAGTTAAAAATTAAAAAAGATCAGTGCACTCAAACACAAGGCAAAACAGTCTAACACAGACCAAAAAAGTCCATGCTCAATAATCCAGGTGTACAATCCAACATTTTTCAGTCAGGTCATCTGGACAGTTTCTTTTTTTGCTGAAACGTTTCACCTTCCATCCAGAAGGCTTCATCAGTCAAGGAAACACACAACACAAAACTGATTCTTCCCCCAAACAGCTTACTACAAAGTGGAACAAACCAGTTATGTTAGTGCTTCTTAGCACCAACATAACTGGTAAGGGTTTGTCAACAAACCCCTGTAAGCTGATTGGGGGAAGAATCAGTTTTGTGTTGTGTGTTTCCTTGACTGATGAAGCCTTCTGGATGGAAGGTGAAACGTTTCAGCAAAAAAATAAACTGTCCAGATGACCTGACTGAAAATTGTTGGAGTCTAACACATAGTTTCGGATAATGACTATGGTTGTGTCTAAGTAAAGAGTTCTGGGGAATGGCTCAAAGCACCTCCAGGCAGACAAGCCAATTCTGGTGAATGACCCATGAACTGTCCAGGCAGATGTGGCAGGAGAGGCAGATGACTCAGGAACCATTCAGGCAGACATGGCTGATAAGTGTTGGGTCAAATTATATCCAGTGGGACCCCTTTTACTCAAACACAGGACAAGTCATTAGAGGGGCATCGTCCATGATCCCTGTGGGCTTTGGAACAAAATCAAATTGGTGATAGATGTGGTCCACAACCATTTAAGAACAAAAAGATGAACAAACTGGCTAGAGGCATCATCCACAAACTTCTCAGGATCTTAACCAGAATCAAACTGGTGAAAGACATCATCCTCAATCCTTTCAGACTAGAGATCAGGTGTAGGATAGGCCTTGTCCTTGACCTTCTCAGACTTAGGAACAGATGTTGGAGAATCCTTGTCCTTGACCTTCTCAGACTTAGGAACAGATGTTGGAGAATCCTTGTCCTTGACCTTCTCAAACTTAGAATCTGGCGATTGTGCATGTAATGTTAGGTGAAAAAATGTTGGACTTGTGGCTCTCAAGGATTGGAAGACACAAACCCTTAGGGGTTGGAGGCAGAGTGGGCTCCTCTGTAAAGTTCTTGAGGACTGGAGACTGGGAGATCTCAGGAACTGGAGACTGAGGGATTATGGGGACTAGAGACTTAAAGAGGTCCTCCTTGGGGTCCTCAGAGACTGGAGACTGGGAAGCATTCTCCTGGACCCTATCTCAGATAAGGAACCGAGAGGCATTTTCAAGGGCACTCTCAAAGATGAGGAACTGAGCGGCATCCTTCTAGACCCTCTTGAACCCTCTCAGAGATGGGGAACTGAGCGGCATACCTCTGAACTCTCTTGGAAACAGACAGTGAAGTTGCATCCTCCATACCCTCTCAGAGATGTGAGACGTGTCTTGTCCAGTGGGACCCTTTTGGGGATGTGAGAAGCATCAGTGTCTAGCCAAAAAAGTCCATGCTCAATAATCCAGGTATACAATCCAACAATTTTCAGTCAGGTCATCTGGACAGTATCTATGCAGCTGGTGGACTTGGTTACATTTTTCATTCTCTGATATGAGGGAACTCCCTGTGACTGAGATCAAGATGTTAGGGTGTGAATCTTGGGAGCAGAGACAATGTGAAGCTCAGGAGATGATTTGAAAAAGCAGATGTAAACTCTAATGGAGCAGGACCATCAAAGGAAAGCTTTGGTGGAGCAGGTGCAGCAGAGGCCTCTGCTTTATGTCTACATTGGGGCGGCTGAAGCTGAGT